GTGATTCAGAGAATTGTAAATGTTATGGAATATATTATTTTTGAAGAACATTACCAACTTTTTTAGTAGCTTGCACAGCTTTCATATAAAAATGTTGCATTAGCCCTAACTGGTTTGGCTCAGTGGATAGAGCGTCAGCCTGCAGACTGAAGGGTCCTGGGTTTGATTCCGGTCAGGGGCACATGCCCGGGTTGTGGCCTTGATCCCCAGTGGGGGGCGTGCAGGAGTCAGCCGGTCAAAGATTCTCTCTCATCATTGATGTTTCTATCTCTCTCTCCCTCTCACTTTCTCTCTGAAATCAATAAAAATATATTTCAAAAAATGTCAATGTTTTTTAAAAAAATGTTGCATTAAATAAAGGCATTTTTTTTAACATTTTGTTTACAAATTTATTTTTTAGGTCAATAATAGCAAATACTTAAGTAGAGACATTATGATGTCATAAAACACTTGGAAAGGGAGATAGTAGTGCAAGTGGTTATTGACATGAAATGTTTACTTGAGAAAATTCTTGGCATTTTTGCCCCACATCAGCATAATGAGAGTTTGTAGGAGAGGCCCAGCATTAATGTATCTGTTGCAGATTAATGTCCTTGTAGAGCATGTGTTAGTGACTATATTATAACTACAAAGTTGCACACTAGACAGTTTGTGGGTTGGCATAAACATTCCTTTCATCCCCCCAATGGCTTGCATTCAAGTGAGTAGTGTATGGTTCATCTTGGTCTCAAGAATAGAAAGAAGGATGGCTGTCTCAGAGTTGTTTCCTTCTCACGATCTTGCTGATCAGATGGGCAGAAACACTGGTTGTTTTCAGGACCGAGTTATTTTTTAACAGTTCAGAAAAAATGTCACATAGTACATATAACCATAACAGTATTCCACTGTTCCTTTTGAAATTTTTATTATTAAAGTTATTTTCAGACAATACCATAGTGTGCTGCTGTGTCATGTGTAAAATGTATTCAGTGTGATCAGTGATTCCTCAAAGCTTGTGTGTTATAAAAGAAGTGAAATGATGAATAATATAAATATATATTAGTACCAAACCATAGACCTGTGAATTTTCAGAATTTTCAAAGAAGCGAGTCTTGATTATTTTATTACTATCTGTTGCCCCAGTGGGTTGAACCTGAGCAGGTTGCTGTATTGAAGCAGCATCTGGGAGGAGAGGCACCCTGCTGTTAGAGTAATGATGTCCTGTCCTTCACGCAGAAGGATGAGGAGGAGGCAGACAGATGTAAAGTGGGCAATTTCCATTTCTTTGTTTGCTCCAAATGTTCCCACCTACCTGTTTTCTCGTTTAAGAGGCATTTTGTTTTTCATAATTTCGTTATTTCTGAATCCTCTTACTTAACACACAATATTTATTTATGAGATCATAAAGATTTTCTTCTGTGCAGAGAGAGGGAAGGAAATATAGTTGAATGTGATTTGCAGCTTGGCTTTGAGTCAATGAGGGTGGGAAAGGAAGGAATAGAAAGACTATTCCTGTTCTCATTATTTAATTGGTCTGTTTCTTAGTTGTGTGAACTCTTCACTTAATGCATTGGATTACTGATTAATCCCATATATATTGACTGCTGGTTACATATCCTTGCCCTGAGGATACAAAGATGAGTGGCCCAGTCAGTAGGCATCAGATGACTTTGGAATCTTCTCCTGGCAGAATTCAGTGATGATAAGGTGCTTATCTAGTATTCTAAAATGCTGCCATCTTCCAAAGATGGCCTGGAAATGTTCATGTTAACAGGATAGACAAACTGGAGCAGCCTCAAAATTTTGGAGGTCGCAAAGGCTGTGCAGGGAACATAGAATCTACTTTCCAGGTGTTTTTAATTTCATTAGATTTTGTGATGAACCTTGCTGCTTTGCACATTATTGGAGTGCTTTCCAATACCTCCACCCACTTCTGTACTTGCCGAGACTGGAGGTTGAAGAGTGGGCAGGAGACTGAAGTGGGAAGACATCACTGCAGTCTTAAGAGGCATTACACTAGGAAATCTCAGAGGCAGGTGCCTCTGCCAACTCCATTCTCCCCTTCTTGCCTTTATATTCAAACTAGAGGCCCAGTGCACGAAATTCATGCATGGGTAGGGTCCCTAGCAGCTGCTGGCTGCTGGCTGCCAGCCAGGGCTCCCTGACCCTGGCTGCCTGCTGCTGCTGCCTGCCAGGGTGGGGCCGGCCAGGGGGAGGGGCCGAAGGCAGTTGGCCCGCCAGCCCCGCCCCCTGGTCAAACTCCCAGTCAAGGGGCCAATTTTCATATTAGGCTTTTATTATAGAGGATGTCTGATTTTATTTTCATTAGGTTAGTCATGCTAGGAGGGATCTTTGAATTGAAGCATCTTAAGAAGCCTTATAAGATGCTGGGTAGTGGTTTCACTTAATGAAACTATATGCAAACCTGTGGAAAGATTGTCACCCGAAACCTAAGATCATTTTAAGAAGAGCGTTCTTCTGAATCTTTTGATACTATTAAGTTCTACTATGGGTGTGCTTATTTCACGAATACCGCTTCCCACCTTGATACGTACTAGCGAATACAGGATTTATTTTCATTAAAATGGGGTTGAACTACTTTAATTTTGCCAGACACCAAGATTTTCAAGATCTGTGTCTCCAAACCATTTATGTGTCAGCTCATTTCAGCAAAGTCTTACCAGCTATTTTATTGACAATATTGATGTCATTTGGTATATTGATTCCAACATCCCAGTGCTGTTGCCTACACACTTACTATAACCACATTTGTCTTTATTCCATTAACTCGAATATTCTTCTAACATCAAAAGGTTGTGGATTCCACTTCCTCGTCAGGGCCAGTCCTTCCAACCTCCTTTGGGATCTTATTCCATCCTTACCTCCTTCCTCTTGTACTCTCAACCTTTCTCTCCCTACCGATTCCTTCAACTTCTCAATGTGGACTTCCATCAGCACCCATTCCTTCCCGCAACCATCCGTTCTCCTTCTACTCTTCTGCTGGCTCTGTTATCTCTGCCTCCACCCTTCCACCCCTCAGTCATGGTGGCCAGTGACTGCTTGACTGTCAAGTCCAAAGGTATATTTTTCATCTCTCCTCTCTATTCATCTCGTTGTATTCCATGGTACTTCTCTACCTTTCTTCCTTGGTCTTGTTCACAGGATCTTCCTCTGCCCATTCTGTCATTGTTCATGTTCTCTAGTGTTCTGCTTTTAGTTCTGATCCTCTAATCCAGTGGTCGGCAAACTGCGGCTCGCGAGCCACACGCGGCTCTTTGGCCCCTTGAGTGTGGCTCTTTCACAAAATACCGACTTCTGCGCATGGACCATGAAATTTCAATCGTACTGTACATGCGCGCCCACACGTGGTATTTTGTGGAAGAGCCACACTCAAGGGGCCAAAGAGCCACATGTGGCTCGCGAGCCACAGTTTGCCGACCACTGCTCTAATCTTCTCCTTCTATCCAAGTTCCTTCAGTGGTATCACCCACTAACATAATTTCTGCTACTTTCTGTGTAATGATCACTTATACGCCTTTATGTTTTGCTTAGGTTTCTTCTCCAAGCTTCATACTCAAGGATATCTGGGCATCCCTACCTGAATCGTCTACACCTCAATTTCTAATGCTCCAAACTAAACACCTTATCTTCCTTATTAAACTTGTTCATTCTCCTGCATTCTCTTCCTCAGTTGTCACTTCTATCCACCCACATGTAGTCATTTTTCCAAGTTGTCTTGCTTTTGGCATCTGGGTGTTTTTCCAGTCCTAATTCTTCCTCTCCTTTTCCCTTTCCTACTTACTTCCACTACCCTAATCCCCACCCTCCCTCTCCTATCTAACAATTAAACTGGCCCACTTGGTCTCCCTGCCTCCACTCTGCCCCCTTTGGATCCATCCAGAGCCAGTAAGGCATCTGAAACCCAGAGCTAACCCATCAGTGGGTGTCTGAAACCAGGGTAAAGTCAGAGTTCCTGGATATGTGAGTAAGGTTATGATCTGGCTCCAGGCTTCTTTCTTGGCCTCACCCCCACACCGAATTACACCATGCAATTTCTTACCTCTGATTTTCCCTTGTCTTGTGCCCCATTACCAGCTTGGCTAAGTCCTACCCAGCCTGAGGACATGCCAGGCATCCCTTTTTGTTGGAAGCCTTCCCTGACCTCTCCATTTCTGGGCTGGGTGCCCCTGCTTGGCGTGAATCTCAGTCACTACCCTCATCCCACTGTCCCACCAGGTATGTTGTGTGTGTCTCTGGGCCCCACTAGACTTCACTTTCCTTAAAAGCCTGTGTCCTTTCCTCTTTGTAGCTCCAGTGTCTAGCACAGTGCTTCGCGTATAGTAGGGATCCAACATGTGGTTTTTAAAAGAAAAACTAATAATGAGAGTAATTCAGTTTCATGCTTACAAAAATGGGCAGAAGTAATCTATGCATGAAGGGAGCTTCTGGGGTGCCGATACTGTTCTGGGTTTGACCCGGTGTGTTCAGTTTAGGAAAATCCATTGTGGCGTCCACTTGAGGTATGTGTACTTTTCTGTATCAATGTTAGATTTCAATAAAAAGTTTTTCTAAGAATCGGTTTGATGGCTTATCTACCCAGTACAGATAATTTCCTTTTTTCCTTTCAAGCTCTTACAGTTTCCACAGGATATTAGTTCAGATGTCACAGCAAAGAACCGGGCTACTGCTGTTCCTTTTCGTTAAGGAAGAGTGAGATGAAAAGGCATAGGAGACACGCGTGGGATTGCCTGATCTCCCAGAGAGGGCCAGCGGGCCAGCCCTGCTGGTAGTGCAGTGGCCCGCGCTCCTGTCACACTTATTGCAGGGGCCACATGCTAATCGTCAGCGAGCTCTGTGCCTGCCTGCAGGGACAGGGAGTCCGCCTCGGATGTGACCATGAATAATTCATAAATGTAGTTATCTGGAAATTTGTGGTCATCATTAGCATTTTAATGAAAAAAATGCAGTCATCATTCTCAATCTCTGTTTTGTTTCTACTTTTTTCTCCTCCCCCACCACAGCCAACCCTCTCAGTCTTCCCGAGCAGTGGAGACTCCCGAGGCCCCTGCAATGTGCTGACTGGTCGCTATGGGCAGACGGTACCCGGAGGCTCACTGTCATCCAGGCAGCTCATGTATGTATGGGATTGCACTCCCGCTCTCTCTCTTTCTCTCTCGCTCTCTTCCTGTGTAGAATATGGCAGGGTGCTGAACTGGTGAAGGTTTTTACGTTTAACTGACAATATAATATTTAGGAATGCAAGAGAGTGAATCGCTCTAGGGTAAATATTTAATATTGAATGAGAATTTTTTTAATAATTTATTGGCCCTATAAGACCAGGAGTGTATATCAGCAATCTTCCTTTCAATGCATCCAGTCATATAGAGGTTTTTTGTTTTTGTTTTTAACTTTCCTTTTTCATCACAATATAAAACATTTGGACCAATAGCAATGCCATAAATTAAAAACATGTCCCAGTGACTCTTTGAATTCTTTGAAATAAAAAAACTCATGGACTCAGAAGAGAGGTCCTCTGGGGATGTCATTGTTGAACACATGTCAGGGAGAGAGGCCCCAACTCTTATTTCTTAACATTCTCCAAAGAGGAAATTCCTGACTCCCTCAGTGATGACTTTCAGTGTCTCACACACTAAGGTTTTTCTGATCATCGTCTTTGGGGAATGGCTACCATGGCAGCCTTTTCCTGTTTGTCACGACCCCTGATTCACTTTGGAGAAAAATGATTATTGCCCATGTAATGTTCCTTCTTATTTCTATAAAGGAGAGTTTGCCTCAAACATATTTTTTGTTCCCTTTAGTCTTTCAGCCAGCTGTTTAGATATTTCTTTGTTTTTGTTGCTTCCTTTTGAATTACTGGAATTTTAGCTTCAAATCAGGGGTGTGTTTGGGTTTGTAATTCCCCAGAGTGCCTTTGCTCCCCTGTCCCGTGCATTGTTATGCTTGTTCATATCCACCGTTAGGTCCCTTTTCCTTGTACAGTTCACTTTTTTCTTCATAGGAAAGTTAGAACCCCCCTCAAGGCCATACCCAGACAACTGCTTCTAACATCACCCTAACAGCCAGATCATTGGGAGCAGCAGTGGAGGGAGAACTGACAACAGGGTGAGGATTCAGACCAAGCACCAGGGTCAAAGCCTCAGGAGTGGGATAGACAGCTTTTTACATGTACCTTAGCATCCTCCAAGGCCATTACTGAATTACTGTAAAATGAACAGTTTTCATAGTGAACATCATCCCAAAAAGTTCGCCCTGTATACTGTAGTCCAGAGGTTGGCCAACTAGGGCTCATGGCCAAATTCAGCCAGGCCCATTTTTTTGTAGGAGCTAACAATGGCTTCTGTGGTTTTAAATGGTTACATTTCATATATATGTATATATATATAGTGGGGCCTTGACTTACGAGTGTCCCGACTAACGAGTTTTTCGAGATACAAGCCGTCTCTCGGCTGATTTTTTGCTTTGAGTTGCGAGCTAAAATTCGGGTTACGAGCCAGCTTCAGATACCCCACTGCTAGTTGGCGCAGCGAACGTCACAGTGAACACCACAACATCAGCCCAGCATCACGTGTCTCACTCGTTCACTTTAAGATTTGACATACGAGTAATTTGAGTTACGAGCTCCGTCACGGAATGAATTAAACTCGTAAGTCAAGGCCCCACTGTATATAAAATCCTAAGTGACCGTTACAACAGAATGACCAGAATGACCAGTCGCTATGACACACACTGACCACCAGGGGGCAGATGCTCAATGTAAGAGCTGCCCCCTGGTGGTCAGTGCGCTCCCATAGCTGGAGCACCACTCAGCCAGAAGCCAGGTTCGCCAGCTGGACCCTCTCCCACCTCCATGGCAGCACTACTGGGCAGTGGCGGCAGGCGCAGCAGGGCTGGGATAAACAACAGCGGAGCTGAGCCCTGCCCAGGTGGGGTTCCTCCCCGGCCACCTGCTGCTTCAGCACTGCTACATCCCTCGGGCTGAAACCCGGCAGCCCAACATCCCCCGAGGGGTCCCAGATTATGAGAGGGCACAGGCCAGGCTGAGGGACCCCACCCATGCACGAATCCGTGCACCGGGCCTCTAGTGGTTATATAAATCCCTACATACTAGTAATCTCTATCTTGCTTCTTGCCCCTGAGAACCTAATATATCTACAATCTGTCCTGTTAAGAAAAATGTCGCCTATCCCTGATGTAGAAGAAAGTTGGAAACGAGGTGCTATGATTGAACCCTACGAAAGTGTTATTATTCAACCTACTAAAATGCTTATTTCATATGGTTGGATCTAATATACTCATATATCGAGGAAATTCTTCTTTCAAATGGTTAAAATTCCAGTGATTGTTCTCTTGGGAAGGTAAATTCACTTGGAAATTCACAAATGTAAATGTGCTCCTTTTTCACTGTCCTGGGGAATGATTCCCTGGCCCCACCATCCCACCTCCTGGGAGGTTTCCAGGGGGCTCCACGCTGCAAAGGCTTTGCTGTCAGGTAGCTGAAAGGAAGCTCTTCTTTTTCACATATTATTATTTACCCAGAGTTCTCTAGGAGAAAACTGTCTTATCTTACCTTCCTGGGTGCAGGGACTTGCTGGCATCCTCAGAGGCCTCTGCTGGGCAGGTCACCTGTGCTTTCTGCTGGTGGGAAGGAGGGTGAGTGGCTGCCTTTTCCATGGGGCACACGTTGGCCCCTTAGCCTGCAGCGTGTCTGCACAACACGTTGCTTGAAATGCCCTTCCCTGCGGCTGGAATGTGGTTCTCACCTTTGTGTGCTTTCCGTCCCTTCGTTTCAATACTGTCATCCCTTAGTCCAATGCATTAAAACCGTCATTTACTTTGTGATTTCTTTTCTGTTCTCACCGCTCCCCTTTGCACCTCCCTTCTCCGGATTATTAGATGAAATTTGCTTGTTGAAGCCTCCCGCTGACCTTATTTAGTGGCCACTCTTCGCGGAAATATTAACCTCAGCTGCTCTGTCTCCTTGTCATCTAAGACAAGAAATCTAAGGTGACACGGGGCCTCCGGGCCAGGCCTGGGGCTGAACCGGGCCACATTGTTCCCAGGGGAGGGAAACTATTTCGGGGGGAAATAATTCTCTGGAGTTTATAGTTTTGTTACTAAGTGTGGACAGGAGTTGCTGTGCTCTGAGTTGTTTTTTGAGGCTCACATGGCAACTTGGAGTTTAGACTTTCTCTCCTTCTGGTTTGGGATCCCGGCTTTGCCTTTCAAGGACAGGATGCTGCTTTGAGGACGGATGCTGTTCTTTCATGCATGTGGACTGGCATCCACTGAGCACCAAAATAAGAAGTCAAGAGCCGGAGCCTGACCTCTCCTGACTTTTTAGCAGATATCTGTGCTTGTGTTAAGACTAGAGTCGATTGGTCCTAGGAATTAATAATGAGGTTGCATCCTTAGTTATTTTTACCTGCACCTATCGGTTCCTTTGCCTGACTGCAGCCGCTGCTCTCACCCTGGCGTCCGGATCTGGACTGTTGCGACAGCCTCCTGACTTCTGGTCTGATGTCTCCCTCCCTGCAAATTTGACTCATTCATAAAAGCCAGATTAATCCAACAGCTGAAGCGCTTATACCTTAGCTCTGAGTGTGCCACTTCCCTGCCAAGAGTATTTAGAATATCCTCACTAGTCCAGAAGGGCGCCCTGACATTCAAGTCCTCCCCACTTCCTTTTCTACTCCTTCAGTACCCATTGCTCATGATTAGAAATGTGATTGCTGTTGTCAGCGGTGTCACCCCTCAGGAGCTGCCTGAGGCTAGCCCACGTGGGCGCTCCTGCTGAGACACACCTTTGCCTCTGGGTCAGTGTGCCGTTGCTCCATCTTTAGACACCCCGCTGGAACCCTGCTCTGGCCTCAGGGTGCAGCAGAGCGGCTCTCTTTCCTGGGCAGCCCCGCTGGTTTCCCCTCGCTGGCAGCACGTGCTCCTGTAGCTCTTACATCTCCCCCCTGAAGCCTGTGTCCCCAGTTACTCTTTACGTACACTCTGCTGAACTTTGACACCTGACATTTTCATTTCCCTTCTCGCCTCTGAGTGTGAGGATAGTGCTCAAATATTTGTGGAATCACCTTGGGTGTGGAGGTGGGTCTGGATATGTGTCCTCAGGAAGGCCCAGGGAAGCATTTTCCAGAGCACGCAGCAGAGCCTTTGCAGGCCCAGGCCGAGGAGGCATAGGCAGGGCTCCAGGCAGCCCGGTGCTGGGCCTGTGCTGCTCACCCTCCCGGGCTCTCCTGCCTCCCCTCCAGCTCACTCACAGGGGTGTGTTTCCTCCCTTTCTGCACTTAAGAAGTTGCCATTTGAAAAGTTGAAGCAGCAACAGGCACTTAGGATTCTTGCCTGTGGCCGTTCACTCTTGCCTTCCCCACTCGCACGGAGGAAAGGCGTTGGTTTGCTTTGTGCTTCTTCTTCATGCCACACATGGGTCCTGATTCTACGAGAAGTTTTTCACTTCCAGCCGCATGAACTTTGAAAGGTCCGTCTGTTATCTCCATCTCACAGGTGATGAAGTGAGGCTCGAACAAAGTAACCGGTCAGAGCAGAGTTGCGTGTGAGCGTAGGTGTGTCTGCTACCGTGTCCGTGCTTTTTCCCATCGAGCTTTCTACTGACCGGCTGAGCCCCGGGCGATTGATTATTTAGGTGCTGTCTACTCACCTGTTCTCGCTACCACAGTGTTTGCTAATATGGGACATAAAGGCCTAAAAGATTCAGCAGCAAAGGATGCTGACAGCTGTCTCATGCCTCCTCTTTTCTCCATTCTTTAAACCTGGTAGCCACCGGTAGTGCAAAGGCCCTAGAGGAGCACTTTGTACAGAAAGAGTAAAGATTAATACAGAAATAGTAACATCTTGCAAGCAATACATGTGTAATATAGAAAAATTTAAAAAATAAAAATGTTCTCGCAACCCTACACTCTGAGAGAGAACTGCTTTTAACATTTTTGTTGAACACTTTTCTATACTTCACATACTCTCTCTCAATATATTTATTTACTCTGTTTACTTGCAGACATGGGACTAGGTCAGCGGTCCTCAACCTGTGGGTCGTGACCCCTTTGGGGTCGAATGACCCTTTCACAGGGGTCGCCTAAGGCCATCAGAAAA